GGACTCCACAGAGGTGATGGGGGAGTCCATCACGGAGGGTGGGGGCGGGGGGACAGTGCTCTTCCTGAAGTCCACAATCAGGAAGAGCCGGGATAGACGGGAGAGACGGGAGAGACGGGAGTACCGAGCTCAATGCAGCCCAATCATATCAAATGACTTTATTAATGACTAATCAGGTTGTTAAGATCGTCAACATCTTTTCATTCTGAGGAAACTTTGAGAATTTACCTAAAACTCTAAACATTGACAGTTTGTTGGTTCTGTGACTGTGTGGTTTGGTGACATGGCAATCAAGAAAGGGGAGCTGTAAACAAGGTGAGAGAGACCAGAGAGATAGACTAGAGACAGGCCACAGAGAGACTAGAGAGAGACTAGAAAGAGACCAGAGACAGACCAGAGGTACTCTACTCTTAAGATAATCAAGGACTCTTCTGGCCCCTGGAAAAACCGTGTTCCAGCTTCTTGCCTCTGGCAGAAGATATTGCTGAGCAGAACCAGAAAAGTTGATCAATAAAAACAAGTCTCTGGTTTTCGCGCCGGTCTCTCTCTGGTGTCTTTCTCTCTGCCCTCTCTGGTCTCTATCTCTGCTCTTTCTCTTGTCTCTCTTTGCCCTCTCCCTCTGCTCTCTTTCTCTTGTCTCTCTCTCTGGTCTCTCACTCTCTCTCTCTTTTCTCCCTCTCTCTCTCTCTCTCGTCTCTCTCTCTGCTCTCTCCCTACTCTCCATACCTCCTGTTGGCTTTATCCTCATATCAAGCTCATTACAGAATCACACAAAAAAACGCTGCTCAACCCGGTCTCGTTTTCACACGTCCCACTCTCGCTCGAATCCTCTCCTCCGACAAGCGTGTGCGACACCGCGACACAAAACCAAAAGGCAAACACAGACGTCGGCCCCAGAAATTAAATTTGCATAGTGCGAATGAATTCCTGGTGGGAGAGAGAGAGAGAGAGAGCGCCGGTCCGAGGTCATCCATCACCGGCGCTCAAGTCGCAGGTGAACCCATCAACCTTGGTATTCACGGCTCTCTCTCCTCGCCCAAGTGCTGTGAAATACTTTTAGCCGACATGATGAAGTGTGAAATACATTGCTCAGGGCAGAACCAAAAACATGATACCAATGCATAATAATGGCCCCCGCCCATAACCGCGGCCTGGTGCGGCTTGGTGCGGGCTGGTGCGGGCTGGTGCTGGCTGGAGGCGCCGGTCATGGGACGCAGACTGTAGTTGGGGAGAATGGTCTTTCTCGACACGTGCGGAATCTCTTTATCTCTAAACGGGATATGTTTTTTATATAGATTTTCTCCATGTTGTAACAAGGTCCACACATCAGGAACAGTAGAGCAGAGAAGGGCTGGTGGAAACGGGGCTAAAGCTGAGGTAAAGTGTTAATGAGTCTTAACCTCAAACTGCAAAATCCTGCCCGGCTTTTATCGCTGCATCATTGACAGTTTGCTTCCTGCGGTTTTGTGACTGTGGTGGTTTGGTGACATCACAGGCAGAGACCAGAGAGAGAGAGAAAGCAGAGAAAGACCTGAGAGAGAGAAGAGAGACCTGGGAGAAACCAGAGAGAGAAAGAGACCAGAGAGAGAGACCAGAGAGAGACCAGAGAGAGAGAGAGACCAGAGAGAGAAACCAGAGAGAGACCAGAGAGAGAGACCAGAGGAGGGACTAGAGAGAGACCAGAGAGAGACCAGAAAGAGACCAGACAGAGACCAGAGAGAGAGACCAGAGGAGGAACTAGAGAGAGACCAGAGAGAGAGACTAGAGAGAAAGACCAGAGAGAGACCAGAGAGAGACCTGAGAAAGAGAAAGCAGAGAGAGACCTGAGAGAAACCGGAGAGAGAGAGAGAGACCAGAGAGAGACCAGAGAGAGAGACCAGAGAGAGACTAGAGAGAGAGAGACCAGAAAGAGAGAGAGAGAGAGAGAGAGATACCAGAGAGAGACCAGAGAGAGAGACCAGAGAGAGACCAGTGAGAGAGCTTAGAGAGAGCTGAGAGAGAGAAAGCAGAGAGAGACTACGGAGAGAGACTACAGAGAGAAAGAGACCAGAGAGACCAGAGAGAGAAACCAGAGAGAGACCAGAAAGAGACCAGAGAGAGAGACAAGAGACAGACCGGAGAGAGACCACGTTTCAACAAGGTCCACGCATCAGACACAGTAGAGTAGGGCTGGTGGAAATTGCATTCTACAACATTGCATTCTACAACATGTATGGACATTTTCTTCTGTGTGTGCTTTATATTCTTCATGTGTTTTAACTGTTGATTCTCTGACCTGTGTTGGTGATTTCAATGGTTTTGTTAAGTCCTCTGAGATGACTTCTGTTGTGACCAAGGGCTATACAAGAATAAATTGTATTGTATTGTATTGGAAACGGGGCTAAAGCTGAGGTACCCAAAACACACTTAAACTATAAAACAATGCACACACATATCGTTTCTCTCTTTCACTTTTTTTGGTATTTATTCAATCATTTTATTTTTGCAGTTCTGCGTTTTGGGTTGTTTTCCTTTTCCCCCTGTGACAGATGGAGTTCCTGACCTCTGTCACATCTGCAGATCAGCTTTTTCAGACAGAACAGAGAAAAAAAGAGAGGCCCACGCTCACTCAGCCAATCAGCTCTCAGCCCAAGGACTCAAAAAGTGACTCACAGGGATTTTTCTTGTACGTCGCCGGCGATATCGTGTCCTGGGGAATGAATGGAGACAGAATATATTTGATTTACAGCTAAACCTACTCTGGTCATTCTCGACACGGAGCATATCAACCTGCCATGGGATACGGATGAACATTAGCATACATGGCCAACTCTGAAAAAACACATGTTGATTAATGTGCACTGTCCCAATTCAAATAAAAATAAAACAAACACACGAAAAAGTCTCTTCATCTCAAAAATGACTAGATGGAAAAGGGAAATAGTTTTATATTCCACACACTGTTATTGTTTAATGGTGCTAATGCTTTGCGCTGCTTTAAAGATGCTATACCCGATTTTTTTTCCAATTAGTTCATAAAAATTCTTATTACTACAAACCAGTTGTATTATAATCCGTAATTTAATTGAAAACTTGAGCTCATTGATTCAGCTGTGTATGAACTCAGGCTGTAAAAAGTGCTGAGTAGAGACTTTAGCGTGACGCTGTTCATCCAACTATAGTAAGTAAGTAAGTAAGCTTTAATTTATATACCGCCTTTTCACTGCACATCGGAGTCTCAAAGCGGTTTACAATTGTTGGGTGGGGGTCGCCAGTACAGGAGGCACATGCTAGACCTATTGTACATATTTTTAGTGGTAGGGGAAACCGGAGCACCCGGAGGAAACCGGAGCAGACACGGGGAGAACATGCAAACTCCACTCAGAAAGGCCCTGGTCCAACCGGGATTCGAACCCAGGACCTTCTTGCTGAGAGGCGAGAGTGCTATCCACTCAGCCACCGTGCCGCCCCGTTTTACTGCCACACTAGCTGCGTTTCCATTGAGCATCAAATTTCGAAATTTGAATTTGCGCATCATAAAATGTCTAATGGAAACGCGCAAATTTCGAATAAACCAAAGTTTTTCGATAAAAAGTTAATGCGCTTAAAATCGGTGGTTTTTTGGACGTATCGAAATTAAGTTTTTCGCAAAACGGCAATGGAAACACTTATTTCGATATAGCGGAGGAAGCCGAGCTGCTTTATTCAGTGAGTTTTGGCTGCGCTTCGTGTGGAGACTTGGGAGATACGTGGGAGAGGCATGGGGGAGAGACGGGGGAGAGGCATGGGGGAGAGACGGGGGAGAGGCATGGGGGAGAGACGGGGGAGAGACGGGGGGAGAGACGGGGAAGAGACGGGGGAGAGGACGGGGGAGAGACGGGGGAGAGACGGGGAAGAGACGGGGGAGAGGCATGGGGGAGAGACGGGGGAGAGACGGGGGAGAGGCATGGGGGAGAGACGGGGGAGACAGGCAAGACCCGTGTCTATGGTTCTGTGCGCACGTCTATGGTCCGCGCTCGGTACATGACCACGCGCGTTCGCGGAGCTGTCAAAGCAGCCACGTTCTCCCGGGGTCAGAGGTCAGAGAGGATGAGAGCCGCAGCAGAAGTCAAGACATTAATATATCTCACGTAAATCAAAGTGTTGTTTACTTCTGTTGCCATGTTGACGTACTAGAAACTAGTGAATAAACGCGCGAAAATAGTGTATACTTATTCGAATATGTCTTGATGGAAACGGCCGCTTTTGCGAATTACAGGTTTTTCGAATTTTGAAATGTATCGAAAAAGTTTTTGCGCATTATTCAATGGAAACGCAGCTATTGTCTCCGTGTAAACTCAGCCTTGGTTTTCCTAATTGTGTTTTTAGCTTTGTGGTCTGTAAAGAAGTTGTCAATCTCTTCTTGAATGTTAGGAGTTGTGTTTTCGTCGTTATTTGCTGTTATTACTTCCTCTGGCTCTTCGAACTCGTCGCTCGTTCTTTCTTTACCGAGGAAAGATATCAAATGTGATACGCGCTGCGGACCAGTTGTCATGGTAACGGTCCGAGATGGGAAAATATCAGACCGCAAATCAGCCAATCAGAGCGTGCGTACGATCCAAGTCATATAATACATTTTCTTATTATTAAAATCGAATTAGCGGCCTTTTGTCACACTTTAGCTCCCTTTATCGCCCAAATACATAAATATAATTGTGCTGAAATGTGAAAACAGACCAGTCCAGCTCAACACGTCCTCCGTCCCTTCTTCTCTTACATTTACAAAACCAAACTACATTCTTTACCTTGTGTTTCACCCACGTAGAGAGAGGTCTGCGGTCCCCTGTGTCCTGACATCCCCAGCCCCGCCCCCAGCCCCGCCCACCTGCCCATTGCCCTAAGTAGCCCACAGCTTAAGCTTTTGTTTTTTTTTTCCTGTAATAAGCAACATTTGAGGCTTAAGTGAAACCGCGGCTCGTTAGCCTGGGTCTTATGTGCTTATGGTGCATCCGGAGCTTCCTCTTTTCGCAGGTGGAAGAGGAATGAGGAGGTCCGTGCGGTCGCCATCGATCCGTTAATTACTGCTCCGTAGCTGCTGAGTTGGTGTCTGCTGCGTCGCGGGGATCTGCTCTGGCTTTTTGTGGCGTTTTTGTTTTAGTCGTAAGCAACTTTAGAAACGCAAATGGAAGGGAGGGATGGTGAGGAAACAGGATGTGTGTTGGCCTCTCTCAATCGTTCTCTCTCTCTCTCTCTATTTTTCTCTATCACTTTGTCTTTGTATGTTTCTGTCTTTCTCTCTCTATCTTTCTCTGTTTGTCTTTTTCTCTCTCTCTTTCTCTCTCTTCCTCTCTCTCTTTCTCTGTCTTCCTCTCTATATCTGTCTCTCTCTTCCTCTCTCTCTTTCTCTGTCTTCCTCTCTATATCTGTCTCTCTCTTCCTCTCTCTCTCTCTTCCTCTTTATATCTGTCTCTCTCTCCTCCTCTCTCTTTCTCTTTTCCTTGCTCTTCCTCTCTGTATCTGTCTCTCTCTTCCTCTCTCTCTCTCTTCCTCTTTATATCTGTCTCTCTCTCCTCCTCTCTCTTTCTCTTTTCCTTGCTCTTCCTCTCTATATCTGTCTCTCTCTTTCTCACTCTTCCTCTCGCCCTTCCTCTCTCTCTCTCTCTCTTCCTCTCTCTCTCTCTCTCTCTTCCTCTCTCTCTCTTCTTGGTGAGTTTGCGTTGGGCCTTTGTGATAGGACCAATATTTCTCATTTACAACACTACTTATTCTGTTTTAGTTTGTGCGATATTTGAGCCACAAAAATAATTAAAATGTGCACTTTATTAATCCTTTATTCTTGCTGAGAAGCGAGAGGGCTAACCACTCAGCCACTGTGCCGCCCAATATTATTTCGACTCTTACAAAAACTCAAAAGTAAAACAGGTGCTTATTTAATTAAAGGTATACAGGGGTATTTTCTACTTCCGGGTGGATCATCAAGACTATTGGTCCTCCCAACTGTCAATCATTCTGGTGATACGTGCTCGTCCAATAAGATCAGAGAGTTTTGTTCAAAAAGTGGAGAGGGCGGTTCTTTCATAACATTTGGGAAAATCCTCTACTGTCTGTAAAGAATCACATCTTCAGATTCTATTGAAGAGAATTGGACTCAGAGCTAAGTAAATAATCAAGGACACGTAAGATTACGGAATCAATGAATGGATGACGTGACATAGGGCTGGGCGATAAAACGATAACGATATATATTGCGATAGACACTTGTTCGATATCAATAGAAAACTGGGTCGATAGAACTTCAATAGTTTCACTTCAGTCCGTTCGAAAAAAAACAGGAACAAAACACAGGAAGTAAAGCCGAGTCAGATGCGCGCGGCATTCTGGGGGATGTAGGCAAAGGCTTCTCGACCTATCACAGCCGACTACAAACCACAAAACTTTCTGGGAAATACAAAAAAACAACCGCACCATGCGTAGCGTCCATGGATCATGGATCTATTATAATAGCCATGGATCTAAAGATTGTGTTTCAGGCCGTGTCAATGGTTAAACACGTCCGTGCGAGGAACAGCATGTGCGGCGGGAGAGGCAGTGGGTACAAAGACTCCATGCATTCGGCAAAAGCAAGAGATTAACTTTTTCCGGAGCCGCCACGGGGACACAGGACACTCGAAAACAGCCAAGACATGAGCTAAACCAGGACTAAACCAGGATTAAACCAGGACTAAACCAGGATTAAACCAGGACTAAAGTGGGGGAGACTGCTTGTGAACATTTGGCTCCAGCCTCATTCCCCGTGACTGTAAACAAGGCTGCTAACATGTGTTAGCACGACACGACAAATGTATTTATTTAGGTTTTAAAAAACAAATAAAAAACAATCAATATATATCGTTATCGACCGATATGAATGACTTCTATTGTGATACAGTTTTCAGCCACATCGCCCAGCCCTAACGTGACATCACTCACACGTCCTCAGCTGTGATTTATTCACTGGTCCCGAAGTAAAGCTTTTATTGTATGTATTCTCAGATATCAAAGAAATACCTTATGTGTGATTTCGACATCAACACCCCTACTGTTTATAAAACTGTAGGAACATATCCCGATACTCGATTTTTCTGTGTGCGTCCCTTAGAAACTGGTCTTTTCTCTCACACAAGTTTGTCTCGCTTCTGCAAATGACATCAGTGTTTTGAGAGTCACGCCCTTTCTGCAAAAAATACTAGTAGTTTTTTTATGAGGTAGTAATTGCTTGAATTTAGTGTTTTTTTTTATATGAGTACATTCTGACTTAAAATTCCATGTACAATGTAACTGTCCATATCAAATACATAAATAAATAATCGGTTATAACACGTTTACCCGGCACTAAACGATCGTGGTTGTGTGTTCTCAGTCTGAAGCTGGAGTGTGAGAAGCTGGCCAGCGAGAAGACGGAGATGCAGCGACACTACGTGATGGTGAGTGCAGCTAGCATCAGGTGGAACAATGCTGACGCTAACAGATACATTTGATGCTAACTATGCTAACGCTAACAGATACATTTGATGCTAACTATGCTGACGCTAACAGATACATTTGATGCTAACTATGCTAACGCTAACAGATACATTTGATGCTAACTATGCTAACGCTAACAGATACATTTGATGCTAACTATGCTAATGCTAACAGATACATTTGATGCTAACTATGCTAACGCTAACAGATACATTTGATGCTAACTATGCTAACGCTAACAGATACATTTGATGCTAACTATGCTAACGCTAACAGATACATTTGATGCTAACAATGCTGACGCTAACAGATACATTTGATGCTAACTATGCTAACGCTAACAGATACATTTGATGCTAACTATGCTAACGCTAACAGATACATTTGATGCTAACTATGCTAATGCTAACAGATACATTTGATGCTAACTATGCTAACGCTAACAGATACATTTGATGCTAACTATGCTGACGCTAACAGATACATTTGATGCTAACTATGCTAACGCTAACAGATACATTTGATGCTAACTATGCTAACGCTAACAGATACATTTGATGCTAACTATACTAACGCTAACAGATACATTTGATGCTAACTATGCTAACGCTAACAGATACATTTGATGCTAACTATGCTGACGCTAACAGATACATTTGATGCCAACAATGCTAACGCTAACAGATACATTTGATGCTAACTATGTTGACGCTAACAGATACATTTGATGCTAACTATGCTAACGCTAACAGATACATTTGATGCTAACTATGCTAACGCTAACAGATACATTTGATGCTAACTATGCTAACGCTAACAGATACATTTGATGCTAACGCTAACAGATACATTTGATGCTAACTATGCTAACTCTAACAGATACATTTGATGCTAACTATGCTGACGCTAACAGATACATTTGATGCTAACTATGCTGACGCTAACAGATACATTTGATGCTAACTATGCTAACGCTAACAGATACATTTGATGCTAACTATGCTAACGCTAACAGATACATTTGATGCTAACAATGCTAACGCTAACAGATACACTTGATGCTAACTATGCTGACGCTAACAGATACATTTGATGCTAACAATGCTAACGCTAACAGATACATTTGATGCTAACTATGCTGACGCTAACAGATACATTTGATGCTAACTATGCTAACGCTAACAGATACATTTGATGCTAACTATGCTAACGCTAACAGATACATTTGATGCTAACTAACGCTAACAGATACATTTGATGCTAACTACGCTAACGCTAACAGATACATTTGATGCTAACTATGCTAACGCTAACAGATACATTTGATGCTAACAATGCTGACGCTAACAGATACATTTGATGCTAACTATGCTGACGCTAACAGATACATTTGATGCTAACTATGCTGACGCTAACAGATACATTTGATGCTAACAATGCTGACGCTAACAGATACATTTGATGCTAACTATGCTGACGCTAACAGATACATTTGATGCTAACTATGCTGACGCTAACAGATACATTTGATGCTAACAATGCTAACGCTAACAGATACATTTGATGCTAACTATGCTAACGCTAACAGATACATTTGATGCTAACTATGCTGACGCTAACAGATACATTTGATGCTAACTATGCTAACGCTAACAGATACATTTGATGCTAACAATGCTAACGCTAACAGATACATTTCCCTGATTGATCTGTGTCTCCGCAGTATTACGAGATGTCGTACGGGCTCAACATCGAGATGCACAAACAGGTGAGACGCACTCCTTTTTAATTAGTGATGTTCGTTCTACAGTCTGAGTCCTGGATCTGCAGCCTGTCTGTTCGTGTAGAGCGAATCTGTTACATGGTGGAAAGGAGGACGGACCCAAAATTCAATACTGCAAAAAACATAATTTAATAACCAAAGAATCCAAAAATCAAAAACTGTATAAACACAGGAACTGAAGACGAACCAAGAACAAACAAACAATCAATGGACTGACAACAAGAGTGAAAGAGCACAGGGCAGGGCAGGCAATCAACAGAACAGGAAGTAAAAGGGGGGAACAGAATTACAAAATAAAACAGGAACCAAAAGTGACAACCATGATAGAGTCCCTCTCCATGTGGATCTCCCTGAGGTTTCTCACTTTTCTCCCATTGGTCCATTAGAGGCATAAGGTTTTCTACTAATTCATTTATTTCAAACTGTGTGAGAAATGTGGTTAGGATTTGCCGAGGCTAAGACCCCGGCAGATCATGAGATGAAATCCCCCGCGGCCTAGACCCTGGTGGTGGGAGCAGGGAGCAGGGCGAGAGAGATGGTGCGGCAGACGAGGCGGCGATGGGGAGGAGGAGGGTTGCTGCATGATGATTAGAAGCTTCCTGTAGGATATAGTAGTTGCTGTGAGGTGAGGATTGATGGTGTGTGCTTAGTTCTCCCACGCTACTTCATCTATTCCCACTGGCGTCTGCTGTTGTTGTGTCCCTGGGCAAGACACTTTTCATCCCACCCTGCAAGAAGGTCCCTCAGAAAGACCAG